CTGGTTGTATTTTTTAGTCGAGCCTCGGTTTTACGTCCCTTCCTCCATACGGAATATTTCTTTGAAGCTTATTAACTTGTTAGAGCGGAGTTAGAAAAGCAAGGCATCGCAAGTTATTATTATCGCTATTCTTTCGTTTTAACACACATCTATATACAAATTTTGAAAGCTGTCTATTCAAAATGCTGAAGGCGCCTACCAAAAGCCGTTTGCGCCCGCATTTCTGGCAAATGAATCATATTAAAAGAGCTCACACGCTCGATTTCTTAGAAAATGCTTCAAGCTTCTAGTCCTTAAAATCCCCCCCATCTATTAAATGTTAATCGATGCCTTTTTTCCTTTGTAAAATATCTAGCTGAAAGTGAGATCCAACTTTTCGTTGTTTTCGCTAACAAATTCCACAAGACTAATAAACTCACACTCCTGTTGTACCCAGAGTTGGTTTCCTTTTCATTGAAGCTAGGTGAGTGAAACATCATGAAGGCTAAATGGTTCCCGTACAGGTTCTCATTGTCTGCGTCATATCTTTTTGGGCTTACAGAGTTCAGTTGATGCAGGAAACGTCAATTGCTTTGAACACTCTTTTGAACTCTGGATTGCCATCGCTTGACTCTTTTTTTCGGAAATCAATACAGTAAATGGTTTAAACCCGGGGGTAACATGTAATAGTGTACTTTGATCGTCCGGGTGTGTGCAGTCCTGAGAAGGACAGTTGTCGGTAGTGGTGATGCACATCAGAGTCAATTTCATAGTTGTTGTCAGTCGAACGTTCTAAGTCCGCTTCGTAAAAACTGATTGGTCAGTTTTGTGGCAATGTTATTGGCTATAAGACTCTAGCGGCGTTGGTCGGTCGTGATTGGTCGGTCTCAATCCGTCGGTAAAGTTGGGTCGTTCACTGTTCGGTTCGTTTATTAAGAAATTATTAATCGTCGTTCTTAGATCTTGCTCGTTGGATTTTTCTTGGGAAAAACACGGTGGTTCGTTGCTAGGTTTTTTCCTCCCGGAAGCGCGGGCGCGTGAATGTCTGCGGTAATTGCCATTAGTATTCCAACGTAAAGCAACATGGCGGCGAATTTAAGTGAAGTCGTGTTCGATTTAAGAGGCCAAACAGATTTTTCTAAAACATTTTGGAACGCAAGTGAACTGGAGCTGAAGTTTTCTTTTGAGCGGGAGTGGCTGAAGGCGGTCAGGCGAGCAAAAAGACGACCAAACTATGGTATGGGGAAGATGAATAGCGGACTGGAAGAGGTTTGCGGCAACAAACTTGAGCTTTGTGGTCCACTGGTGGATGGCTACACTTTTAGAAATTGGAGAGCAGATTGTCGAAACTAAGTCGCTCAAAAGCAACATCATTGGTAGGCCCAGTTGTCATCTTCATTCCGTGGCAGATATTTCGTCACATAACAGTTTTGTTCAGGGGCTATAGTGGAGAAGTGAAATTTAATGAAAGAAAATCAAAAATTACTTCGACACTATCTTGTATACAAGCAGTGGAGAAAGTGTTTTCGCCGGCGAGATTCGAAGGCCAGGATGTTCTTAGAAAAAGACATTTCAGTCAACAACCGAAATCAAAGGGAAAGCTGTCGTCTGTTTACAAAGGCAGGTCAGCCGTTGTTGTATCTAAAAACATTCCTTTTGTTGTTGAATACAACCTCAAAAGTCAGAAGGCTATGGTGACATTTTATATTCAACGGTACACGGCAAGATTTGTTTTCGACAAAATACAAAGTCTCATGAATAAACAATAATATTAATTAATATTGTGAGCTTAGTGTTGATCAAAGAAACACGAGTTTGTAGCTTTTTTTTGAGAAAACACATTACTTGTCATCGGACTAACGCTGTTTCTGAATTAAAGTTTGAACTCCAATTTTTTTAGCGATATTTTTCACTGCCATTTTTTCGCCTGTAAGACCACCTTTACGCTCTAGGAGAACATGAATATTCCAATGAACAAAAAAAAGAAGGGTTAAAAACAGGGTCCATGTCTCGAAATTATGCAATAAACACGTTGTCCTGAATTAAGGCTTGAAAAGTGGTTGCTATTTCCCTGCTAGAAAGACATGTAAGGATCGGAGCTTATCGTGTGCGGATCATCTGCATCCAAAACCATAAACATCTGAGATAATTTAACTTTGAAATGTGCAAATACGTGTTATCCTTTATGACGTTTAAAGAATGCTCTCGATTTTCGCCTCAGGAATTAAAAAGTGATGAATTTCAAGTTGTAGACGATCGAATCAAGGACTTCTTCCTTCGTGAGTAAGAAACATTTACTTGTGAGCCAAGTGAAACAACCGAGTGATAAGTGTCTCAATTGGGTTAACTATTTGCCGTGAAAAGGCCAAAAACCTTTTTAACCGTTATTCGTAACAAAAGGTAACCGTAATGTTTCCTTTCTGGAATGTGTAAGTTTGTCTGATTTGGATGGCTGGTCGTAAAATGGCCAATTTTTTTTCGTGAGCCGTAAAAGCCATCACCCACTGAGATCCTCTGATATTTCTGGAGTAATTACTCTATACGTCATCACAAACTATGGTTAAATTAGATTAAATCAGACATTTGCAAACTCAGAAAGAAAAGTCTTGTTTTGCCAAAAACAATGGTCTAATTCGGTTATCACATGATATAGATGCGATATTGATCAAGTGCAATGGCTGAATAATGTAATGGTTAGCATTTTGCCAAAAATGACTTGCCACCACTCGGCGCGACACGCCTTTTTTGAACCATCTCATGTTCAACGCACACTCTTCGAATAACTGTCAAATATAATGCTCAACCTTATCCAATAATTGCGTGTTATCAGCATCATCAATTATATTAATTTTATTGATACTACCATTTTACCTATTATCAGTTTAGTTCATTGAATGGTATAAACAACCCTACTGTCCACACAGTTACATTAACATCTGATGAAAAAAATAATGCATATAAATTAAAATAGAGTGTACAAAATTCTGTGAGCTCACCAAGGTAGGAAGAGCTAACTTCAATTTTGTTAAAAAGAGCCCCAGCATTCCTAAGGAATTGTGCAATTTTTCCTAATGCTAATCTTTCTAGTTTCTGGGCTGGGTAATTCATCTAAACTTTAGAGCATCAATGAGCCTAAAAGAAAAGTTTGCCAAAGCAATGGCCTGGCCTCCTATCAACCGTACTGGAAGCTTCTTGTGCCTCTGAGCCTCATCATTATAGTGATCCTTAATCACAGAAGCTAAATACCCCAACCCACAACCAAGTTCACCAAAATCTTCCTTATGGTTACTTGACAGTGCATTGCCCAGGTCACATACAAACTTTTGGTTAGAGGCATTACCAAAATCAACCCTAGTAGATCGTTCTCCAGCACCATCATTATGTGGAACATAAACTTGTGATTTTCTATTCCCATTACCATTTCCTTGATCAGCTCTCCTTTCTACAGCCGAGGCACTTAATATATCAACAAATTTGGTAAAAACACCTCTTTGTGCTGCTACCCTGTATATGATATTTAAAACATGCTGCCATGCATTAATTTCACAGTGGATAGGCTCTGGGCGCTGCCGCTCTGCAAAAATTCCAATTCGGGGGGTGCCTAACTGACGAATCCCATTCTCTGCCATGAACTGTAGTTTTCTAGAGTGGCGATTTTTTTCACTCAGGGAAGATGGCAGGGAAATCATAAACTCATTTACCCTCTTAACATGGGAATTTCTGACCTCCAGAGTATAAGGTTTGAATAAATCTTCCTCCCCCATCCCAATAGTGGCACCCATAGTACACATATTTCCTTTGCTTACGTTAGCATAAGGAGATGGGTAAGTGGCAGCTTGATTTAACTCATTGTTAGCCCAGCTTTGCCAGCTCATATCAGCACTGGGCTGAAACTCTACAGTACACTGCTTGTTAGAAACAACAAATACATTACCCTCTAACATTTCCATTTCATCAGTGTGTTGCTTCCAGATACTTTGTAACACCTCATCTTTCTCCTCCCGACTGACACAATGTAAAATGTACTGGAAATCCCTGCTTCTCACCCTGTCCCCAAAATTCCATGATGTTAGGCTGCCAATTGACATGGTTAGCTGACTTGACTCAGGGGCCCCATCATTAGAAAATTGCATGATGAAATGATTTATGTTGTCATTAAACCAAATTAGCTTACGGAATAAATAGGGAAGTCTAAGGTGCAGATCAATTATCATAAAAACCAACCCAGTTATTGTTCTGGAAACACCCGGTGCATTGGGAATTTGATTAACATGACCAATGTCAAGACTTCTCAAATTCTCCAAACGTTTGTCAGAAATAGCTATATTTGGCACCCTTAAGTCCAAACCTAAACATTTTATGTTACGGGGTACCCATAGATCAGAGTTTGGATCAAAAACTGAAGACTGAGTTTTGCAGACAAGGGCATACTTTCTGCGAGACAGAAAGTTCTGGTACTTCATAAAAACAGCTTGTTTCAAAGCCTCATCGGAATTTTGATACCCTTTCATTGTCTTGTCAAACAGACCCTGGAGATATTTCCCTCGTTTAAGTCCAGAAATCAGTGTGTCCATGGTTTGATTGTCAGCAGTAGATGAAATATAATCCCAAGCCCCATATATTGACCCTTCCTTTCCCCCATGAATAAATTCTAATACATTTTTTGTCTCCTGTCTTCGTCTGTACTTAGTGCTGGAATTGACATTTGTAATCATATCATAAGTTGTACTGGCATTTTTTCTCCTAGCTACTGAAAAGCCTTTTTGTTCAAGCAGGGATTTAAATTTGTGATATTGCTCATTTAATTGTGTTACTTTTTCCTCTTGTTGCTTTACTTGATCTTCCTTTTCTTCCACACTCTTTTGAAGGCTTTGTAGCTTTGTAAACTCACCAGCATAAGACTACCTGTTTTAAATCTAATTTCAAACGATTACTATAACTTTTCACAAAACATGTAAAAGACAAAAATTAGCGAGCCTATACTTATTAATAAAATGCTTTCGAGGTTGTGGTGCAATACGTCAGTATAGCATGACGATAAAATAAGGGAACCAACAGCAGGCAAATATGGACGCCATGGCTACGAAAACCAAGATACATTTCCTGTCACTTTTTTTTTTCTTCTGCCCCCGCGAGTTTTTATTCAGAATCAACGATGGTCGCTGCCTTTTAGTAATTGCACTGAACATGGCTATGTATGCATAAATCATAAATATGTACGGGAAAAGGAACACCATAACAACGAAAACTGCAGTATGAATAACGTCCCAACGTGCAGATGCTTCGGCAATATGCAAAACGACAGGAATGATGGCAAAAACAGTAGAAGTGATCCAAACGCCGAGCACAATTTTCAAAACCAAGCTCTTGGTCACCACGTGGTGTTTTAGTGGACTGACAGTTGCCATGTACTTGAGCCCAGTAATAAAGAGTATGTGATAAGCACCTGAAATAGCTAGTAATGTATGCGAGGCGTAAACCCCATCATACATTTGTGGCGGAAAAATGCCAAAACTATAAACAATGAAGTATGGAATAGCGATAGCGCCAGTACTGAAGTCACAAATTGCCAAACTGAGAAGCACGTAGTTAGAAGAAGTGCGAAGTCGACGATATCGGTAAAACAAGACAAACACGAGTCCATTGGCCAGAACTATTACTATGGCAACTGGAAGAAGTTTGCTCAAGGTCTTGAGTCCAAAGTCGGAGTGTTGTTGAGGAAACTTTGAGGTTGCATTGCTGTCATTCATGATTAATTACGATGAACGGCATGGGATGACGAAAACACTGAAAGAGAACAAAGGTGTAAAAATGAAACGATGCTAACGAAAGGTATATGATTACGCATTATGCAAGTATCGAGTGACTCAGATTATTTGGAATACAAAAGTGAGATTGAAAGAAAATTTCAGTAAATGTCGGTGGGAATTTAGTAAGTGAGATCAATAAAAAGATTTCAAATTGATTTGGTAAATTGAAATATTGATATTGAGGTCAAAATGCTCATGCTTTTGCGGTTTTCAGGAGGTAGAGAAACCTGCTATATTTTTCATGTTTGAAGGCTTCAGTAGAGAGGCCAGCGAAAGGTGATTGATTTCTTTTGCACGATAACACCCACAAGCGATATTTTTCTTCGATATATTTTTCATAAGACAGCAATCTATCGCACTCGTATACATATCTCTTTTTAAACTTCTTTGCTAGAAAAACGAAATGTAAACAAAATACGCAATAATTGATTGTCAGGGGTTTTTTAAGGGTTTGTTAATTGTTCTCACGATAAACATCAACTTGCCTGCTGAGATGTTATACATATTTAGCAACTGTGATGATTAGCACTAATTACGAGCTTAGTTTCAGTTTTAAAATCAATACCGTTTTAGACAAATTCAGAAAAAGGTTTGACCTGTTTTACCATTAAACTCAAATGGCCGAGTCCAAACCTTGGAAAATTAAGGATTACTGTGTTTACATTAGCTAGGGCAAAATGAATGCATAAGAGCAAAGAAATTTGATACAAATATAAATGCTAAGAGGCTTAATTGCTAAGTTACGAATTATCTCCGTCAAATCTTTTATCCTTAAATATGTAAAACAAACATGTACATGCGTATTTAAAACAAACAGTTGCAACAGAAGTTTTTTCTTGTTCTCGATTTCTCTTCTTTATTTCTTGTCTCTTTATTTTGTTATGGTGCATGGCGATGCGTTATTAATTATTGATTTCTCTTTGCCGTATTTCAAGTCATACTGTCAATCCTTAATTTATTCTTCTATGAAAACAAAGCACGAAATTGGCTTTTAAATACAAATTAAAACAAACTTCGAATCAAGGAAATATATTTTTCGATCTGTCGCGAGGCTAGGAAAAACAAAAAGTTATGAGTGCTTATGGTGAATAAAACTATCGGCAAATTATGCGCACCGATGCTCTACCATTAAGCATCCAAAAAACACATATGAATGGTAGGCCACACTAGCTTCATATGGCAGGTGTGCCAGTTACAAGCTGTTCGAAGCTTTGTGTGTTTATATGTAATATGAAAAAAAGGTAAATTTTGAGCTCAGTAAAAAAGGATACGTTTGGAATATTTGAAAATTGAAAGTTAACTTACGTTTTGCCGAGTTGTTGCCTGCTAAAGCACTTTTTGAGCTCTTTATGTTAAAGCACAAGTGGAGCTCAAATACGTCTACACACATACAATAATATCCCAGTAATGATAAAGGTTCCTGTTGAAAGCTTCAATAACGTAGAATCTATTTTATATCCCAATATACCGGGCAATATTTTAGAATGATAACGCGAAGATTGACTGGATATGTAGCGAGTCACTTTCGTGGGATTGCTGCGTTTTTTGGTTCTCTCTCAGTGAGTCTTCATTATTCAGTCGTCAGTGGTTCGAATCTGTCGTAAACCACCGCCATGCTCAAAGATTGTGTGTATTTTTCCCACGAGAGTTTCATTTTGACCTTCATTGTTTTAAAATCTTATTTGGATGAAGTCTTAAATGTGATACCGTGTCGTTGCTCTGCGTGATCTTGTAATAATGAAACATTTTGTAACTACCTCCCCGTTTTATATCATAATAAAGTACGGATATAACTCGCGCTATCATCGGTGTAACGAGCGCGTTATCAGGTTACAAAACACGGAGCTGGGCTAAAGCTGTCACGTCATCTGCCTATTTGAGATTGAGAAAAAACCGGTAGAAGTCCATGGAAATTTGGGTAGGCGAGATCAATGTGATCAATTCATGATTTAACTCAAAATAGCGATTACTGCGTTTACTGTGAAGCCCTTTTTCGAAGGCTGAATACAACAGTACTTTGGTTTTAAAAGAGTTTTAACTATTTCAGTCCTTTCTTTTATAATCAAATATGAAAAACGAACATGTATATGCGTATCAAAAAGGCTTTGTTCTTTTTCTCGTACTTCTCCTCTGTATTTCTCTTTCTTTGTTCTGTTTGGTTTGGTTTTGTTTTTCCAGCGGTAAAATAAATATTTCGCTGAGCAAATGACAGAGTTGTTTTTACAGCACACCTATGGAACTGATCAGTGAAACAATCCTTTTCTTATGAAAATGAGAACTGTCGCTAGTTCCGAGAAAATATAGCTCTATCAATGTGTTCGGTTTTAGTACAAGCTCTGGCGAATAACAACTCATTGGATGTTTCCTCGTGTCAGTACCGCTACATCTACTTCATGGCGCTGAAATTCAAATCATTAATGTTTCTTTGTTTTATCTCAAATCACTCTTCCCATCTTGACTTTAGTCTTCTTTAAAAACAAAGCACGAAATCGGCATTCAGTGGCAATGAAAGTTGGTTTTGAAGAGAATATTGATTTTTTGGTACTTCTTTCACGAGCTTAGAATAAAGAGAAAATTCTGGGTTCCCATGATGGATCAAAACTCAGATGCTCCACTACTGAGCTTTAAAAAACTCTATGTTGTGCCAGGTTATTGCTGCGTTCATGAATGACTTAGCGTCCCAGCTCATACTTTAAGGATCAGTGCTCTTAAAATCTTTTTGTGGCTATATGGAGTAGGAAAAATGGCAAATTTTGAGAATTTTAATTTAACTTTCATTGTTAAGGAAAGAGGCTAAGTTGTTAAACACGATTCAAAATGGCGCTGTCAATCGTCAAATTCTTTACCACCCATGAAAACAGTTCAAAACTCACCAGCATAAGAATACCTATTTTAAATCTAATTTCAAACGATTACTATAACTTTTCACAAAACATGTAAAAGACTAAAATTAGCGAACCTATACCTATTAATAAAATGCTTTTGAGTTGTGGTGCAATACGTCAGTAAATTCTGTATCACTTAAAGAAAATAATAATATACCAAACAAAAAAAGTAATGTTAAAAGAATGCTCTATCACTGGTAAATAAATTGTACGTGCTTTTGAGGTGCTACGCCGGTCCTATTTTTGCAATGTGATTGGTTTAATGAGCTAAACTTAATCCAATACCCGCGGAGTGTTCAGTCCAACTTATCTATGACTTTGTGCTGTTTTCTTAGGCAAAAAAAAACCTTTCCCAGTGGAGTGTCCATCACCTGCAAGCAGTTAAACACGGCTTGTAAGAAATGTCTCTTCCCCAAAGGTCACGTTGCTATTGGGAATCATTCTCGGTTCTTGTCCTTCTCCTTCGAGCGTCGTTAACCTTCTGCTGTTGACGCTTGATCTGGATCTTAGTCGGCTCGTGAGACTAAGAGACCCTGTTTGACTTTTTTGAGAAGTAGAACTGACCTTTCCCTTGTTTTGCAACAGATTTTGAAAGGCGGACCAGAAGTCGCGTTTGAAAAACGTGTAGAGAAGAGGGTTGGCCAAAGATGTGATATATCGAATGACCATAACAGCTTCAAAGACACTAAACAGAACTTTTAGTCTTATATTGACTAATAGCATGACGATAAAATAAGGGAACCAACAGCAGGCAAATATGGACGCCATGGCTGCGAAAACCAAGATACACTTCCTGTCACTTTTTTTTTTCTTCTGCTCCCGCGAGTTTTTATTCAGAATCAACGATGGTCGCTGCCTTTTAGTAATTGCACTGAACATGGCTATGTATGCATAAATCATAAATATGTACGGGAAAAGGAACACCATAACAAGGAAAACTGCAGTATGAATAACTTCCCAACGTGCAGATGCTTCGGCAATATGCAAAACGACAGGAATGATGGCAAAAACAGTAGAAGTGATCCAAACGCCGAGCACAATTTTCAAAACCAAGCTCTTGGTCACCACGTGGTGTTTTAGTGGACTGACAGTTGCCATGTACTTGAGCCCAGTAATAAAGAGTATGTGATAAGCACCTGAAATAGCTAGTAATGTATGCGAGGCGTAAACCCCATCATTCATTTGTGGCGGCAAAATGCCAAAACTATAAACAATGAAGTATGGAATAGCGATAGCGCCAGTACTGAAGTCACAAATTGCCAAACTGAGAAGCACGTAGTTAGAAGAAGTGCGAAGTCGACGACATCGGTAAAACAAGACAAACACGAGTCCATTAGCCAGAACTATTACTATGGCAACTGGAAGCAGTTTGCTCAAGGTCTTGAGTCCAAAGTCGGAATGTTGTTGAGGAAACTTTGAGGTTGCATTGCTGTCATTCATGATTAATTACGATGAACAACATGGGATGACGAAAACACTGAAAGAGAACAAAAGTGTAAAAATGAAACGATGCTAACCAAAGGTATATGATTACGCATTATACAAGTATCGAGTGACTCAGATTATTTGGAATACAAAAACTGAGATTGAAAGAAAATTTCAGTAAATGTCGGTGGGAATTTAGTAAGTGAGATCAATAAAAGATTTCAAATTGATTTGGTAAATTGAAATATTGATATTGAGGTCAAAATGCTCATGCTTTTACGGTTTTCAGGAGGTAGAGAAACCTGCTATATTTGACATGTTTGAAGGCTTCTTTATAGAGGCCAGCGAAAGGTGATTGATTTCTTTTGCACGATAACACCCACAAGCGATAGTTTTCTTCGGTATATTTTTCATAAGACAGCAATCTATCGCACTCGTTTACATATCTCTTTTTAAACTTCTTTGCTAGAAAAACGAAATGTAAACAAAATACGCAATAATTGATTGTCAGGGGTTTTTTAAGGGTTTGTTAATTGTTCTCACGATAAACATCAACTTGCCTGCTGAGATGTTATACATATTTAGCAACTATGATGATTAGCACTAATTACGAGCTTAGTTTCAGTTTTAAAATCAATACCGTTTTAGACAAATTCAGAAAAAGGTTTGACCTGTTTTACCATTAAACTCAAATGGCCGAGTCCAAACCTTTGAAAATTAAGGATTACTGTGTTTACATTAGCTAGGGCAAAATGAATGCATAAGAGCAAAGAAATTTGATATAAATATAAATGCTAAGAGGCTTAATTGCTAAGTTACGAATTATCTCCGTCAAATCTTTAATCGTTAAATATGAAAAACAAACATGTACATGCGTATTTAAAACAAACAGTTGCAACAGAAGTTTTTTTCTTGTTCTCGATTTCTCTTCTTTATTTCTTGTCTCTTTATTTTGTTATGGTGCATGGCGATGCGTTATTAATTATTGATTTCTCTTTGCCGTATTTCAAGTCATACTGTCAATCCTTAATTTATTCTTCTATGAAAACAAAGCACGAAATTGGCTTTTAAATACAAATTAAAACAAACTTCGAATCAAGGAAATATATTTTTCGATCTGTCGCGAAGCTAGGAAAAACAAAAAGTTATGAGTGCTTATGGTGAATCGAACCTAAAACTATCGGCAAATTATGCGCACCGATGCTCTACCATTAAGCATCCAAAAAACACATATGAATGGTAGGCCACACTAGCTTCATATGGCAGGTGTGCCAGCTACAAGCTGTTCGAAGCTTTGTGCGTTTATATAAAATATGAAAAAATGGTAAATTTTGAGCTCAGTAAAAAAGGATACGTTTGGAATATTTGAAAATTGAAAGTTAACTTACGTTTTGCCGAGTTGTTGCCTGCTAAAGCACTTTTTGAGCTCTTTATGTCAAGGCACAAGTGGAGCTCAAATACGTCTACACACATACAATAATATACCAGTAATGATAAAGGTTCCTGTTGAAAGCTTCAATAACGTAGAATCTATTTTATATCCCAATATACCGGGCAATATTTTAGAATGATAACGCGAAGATTGACTGGATATGTAGCGAGTCACTTTCGTGGGATTGCTGCGTTTTTGGTTCTCTCTCAGTGAGTCTTCATTATTCAGTCGTCAGTGGTTCGAATCTGTCGTAAACCACCGCTGTACTCAAAGATTGTGTGTATTTTTCCCACGAGAGTTTCATTTTGACCTTCATTGTTTTAAAATCTTATTTGGATGAAGTCTTAAATGTGATACCGTGTCGTTGCTCTGCGGGATCTTGTAATAATGAAACATTTTGTAACTACCTCCCCGTTTTATATCATAATAAATTTCGAATATAACTCGCGCTATCATCGGTGTAACGAGCGCGTTATCAGGTTGCAAAACACGGAGCTGGGCTAAAGCTATCACGTCATCTGCCGATTTGCACAATGTCTGACCATTTTCCGAATTCCTCTCTAGTTTTTTTTCCAAGAGGGCTGCCAAGTAGCAATGGAAGAACCAAGCAAAGGTTTGTGAACATGCCAAGCGCCTTGACAGACGTTATCATAGCTTGAGCAAAGACGAAAATCACCAAAGAGAAAAAGAAATGGACTGTCCGAGTTTTGAAAGTTTTCGCGCTCAATTAGATCAATAAGTATACGTACGGTAATAAAACACAAATACAGCTAACATACCTATAGTAGATATAGTTTGGTGATAAACAGAAACAAAACATGAATGATGAAAAAGATAGTCAAACTCATTATTATAGTATAACTGTTTAAAATTCATTAAATTACGAAGGAGTCAGAGCGACGCTGGTCATACTATGGTCCATCGTGGTTTGCTCATCACAGCAATCTCCCGTCATCGCAGTGAAACAAGCCTCAGAAGAAACATCGCCGCCCTTTATATAAACAACAAGAGCTTGCTCTGGTATCCAATGCGTCGAGTGTTGGGCCACATCATTCACAGCACCTGAGTTTTACGGCGCTGTCATCCTGAGCAATCACCATGTTCCCGAGTATTAGGCTGTCGTTCATTCCGGCATAAAACTCACGCCTTGAACAGTTTGTTTACTAATAGTCATATGAGATAACTTGTGCGCTTTATGAGCCACAATTCGGTCGGATTTTACTTAACATTTCACTTTCGGATTCTGTATTAAGGATAAAACAACTAAAGGCAAAAATGTTGAATTCGACCAGCCTTACTATTTTAGTAAGCTATTGCAAATTGCGAACTTTGACGTCTCCTGGTATGCATATACTTTGATGGAAAAGAGTTACGAAGTATTTTCTGGTCCATAGTTCGTTCCTTCAGCTTTTAGTTGTAGTACTTTGCTTTCTTCCTGACGCTGTTGACGCTCGCGTGTTCCCGAGATAAGTCTTTCCCCCTTAATTTACATTGTAGCACTACTGTCAATGCCATAGCCTTCATTCGATCGTTGCCCAAAATAACCTTCAATGCGCCTTGAACAGCTACAGTGTAAGTTCCTCTTGTCTTCCTCATTATGGATTCCATAGTACCTTGGAATGTTTTTTTATTTTTTCAGCTGACTCCTTTATCTTCCATGGTAAGTAGATCGGATCACTTTGTCGCGCAATCACCGGTTTGAAAGTTGAAACTTACCTCCTTGAGATTGAAGGAGGCTAAAATCTATTTCGAATTCTTCCCATTTTTCACCTCTTGCAGAAATTCTCTGAGTGCCCATGAAATTCTAGGTCACTCTGGATACGATCCGGCTTTCCATGGCTTTCGTGTAATTTGCTTAGTTCTCTGGCTAGGTGTCACCGACTCAAGACGTCTTTGACAAAGGTATAAGCCAGAGATAACGTCTAAACACACCGCCTCGATACTTATAACGAAATCCATAAGTTGATGAAAAATGCTGCAAACAAAATGCCTCAATACAGTTAAAACTTTAACTGGCTCCAAATATATCTTCAAATACAAAAAGAAGCAGGAGAATTTGTCTTCTGTCGAGCAGGTCTGGAAGATATTGAATTCGTTCTGTCGCAAGCACGGGACAAATTAAAGACCTGGGTTCCCTAAAAGAAATCAAACCTCAAATCGAGGGTTTGTTATATCGAAAACCTCGATTGAACGAATTTGCGGGAAAAATACCAAAATGTTCGTTACATCGAGGTATGGTTAATAACTGCCCCCCACACACACACATAATTGTTCTTTTTTCTTCTTCTTGTTCTTCTTTTTTCTACTTTCGTCCTTTTTACTTAATTACCAGCTCATGTATCAACTTGATTCCTTTGAAGGAAGCGTGAGCTAGAGATGACGAACAAACACATCTATGGTCGTTCGTTAAAAAAATAAAGATGTTAAATGATGATGAAAGATGTCATTTGACAAGAGCATGGGTCATTACAAAAGATCCCGGTACCTCGCGCCTTTACAAAGTTCGTATGTGACAAGCTAAGCATCCTGCCTCTCCGCTGTCATATTCCCGGGCCGACCACTCTGTGACCGTGTTGGCGTTTGAAAAATGCGGTCAAAAATACAGAATCCGCTTGAAAAACTTCCAACGTATCGTGACTAGTACATCTCAATTAAATCTCATTAGATGTTAATGAACTGAAGAGCAGTGGTCATCTGCCTCTGAGAACCTTTTTAACTGAATCATTCTCGACCACAGGCTAGGTAAGAGGAAGAGAATACAGCCATCTTTTCAAGATGGAATTAAATTAAAACTACCCAAAATCCCACCTTAATGACGATGGTTCCTCATCGTTTAGAAACTGCTTCGTCTGCTTGATCTATTTAACCCTCGATCCTTCCATATTTCCCAAGAAATCGCTACTAAAATCTAGCAAACCACTTTCTGACTGTGATCAGTGCATAACAACCTTTTCTTTAAATTAAATACATATGCATTTACCTACGATTATAACAATTATTCAAATTAGCTTTTTAAATGATCACTATGAAGAACAAATATTTTGAAAGGGGCTTTTGAAAGAAAGCGGCTCAGTTTATCTCGCTCAGCTTTTTTCGCTTTCGTTTTGTTTTCGAGTTGCTCGCCTTTTTCTTGATTGCTTACTTTTTTCTTATTTTTTCTGTTCCGAGCGGTAAAATAAATATTCGCAGAGCAAAAGGAAATTATATCTAATGATAGATCACCTTTAAATTTACTTGTTTAAATTCCAACTAAAGATATTACACCTGTCTGCTAAAATTGAAAGAAGAATCACTATTATCGTCAAAACGAAGCCTTGTCGTTCTACTTCCTTCCAAGCGCAAACTTAGCCGAATGATAATCATAAGCTGTTTCTCATATTTTGTGACTCTACGTCTCTTTGATAATGACGAGAAAATTTGTAACATACTGAGTTTTCTGTGCCGTGTTTGAAATCAAACTGTGTACCTGGAGTTTTTAAAAGCTTCTTTACCAACATAACAAGTTATGGCTTTTAAATGTGAACACATGCTGGTATGAATTCTTTCAAATTTGAATTTGTTTTCTTACCTTTCGGGTGCCAAACTGTGGCCTTCTAAAGTGTGTCTTTAGCTTCTGATATGTTTTAGGAAAATTCTAATGGAAATTAGTTATTCCTATTTTTACAACGGAAAAGACAAAGATCTTCTATGCGAGAGATGGTAGGAGAAATAAGATCCAATTGTAAACCCGGACGATGATAGAACAGTCAAGCGATGCCGTAAATTGATAACGCACACCGTGAATTATTAGCAGCTGGCTCGCTCACTGTTATTGGCTCATTTTATATCGCTGTCTTTTCCATGTCGATCCTCATTGGTAATATCCCTCAGATCAGCATTGTGTTTTTTTATTGTACGCACTCTGCCTAAGAGAATTATCCATCATTTTTATCACTACACATTTGGCTCGGATCCACTTCTTCAAAGAGAACAACTTTAATAGGCTTCCCAGTTCCAACTTCTGGCCAGAAAGAGTGACCCCTACAAAGCTTATCGATTTCAGTATCCAATAATTCTTAAAGAAAAAAGAACATATAAATAATGTTTCTGGTGTCTCTAATGACACCACCGGCTTCATGACTACCGCTTGAGGTATGCAAAATATCTAATCGCGTGTTGCCTACGCAAAAGGCTTGAAAGTGGTTCATATATACACCTGTCCTTTCCATGTCAGATTTCTCTCCGCGGATAACTAAAACTGAGTTTTTCCCCATGAAGAAACAGACTAAAGGAACAAAAACAAAACAAAAACAAACGTGAAATTTTCTTTTGACTGCCTTCGTCTGCAGCAGATATTTGTCGGATAATATCTGTTTCCTACTTCTATTCCTCATGGGGACTTAGAATTTTTTCTTTGTCCCACGCTCGTGACAAGACGAAAAACATCTTTCTTAATATCTATGTTGTTATCAAGACTGTGTAAACCTAAAATCTTTACCTAAATTGTTGATGATTTCAATGTTTTTACTAGCTTCTTTATTGACCAATTAAAAATCAAATATGCTCATTCGTATTTAATAAAATGATTCGGCTCAATTTTCGACCCTTTAATTTGTAATCTTTTTGTTTTGTCTTACTTTTTGCTCGATAAACGAAGGCTGAGTTGCTCATAACGTTAAATAACTTATATAAATTAATTCAAATCAATCAGAGGCTTAAAACCTATCGAATAGAAATGGAAATTGTCCCTAATTCTGACCAAATAAAGCTTTGCCGCTGTATTTAATTTTAAGAGCAAACTGAGCTAGATAATAAATTATAACTAAATTTCACTGACATCGACGTCGTATAGTCTTAAAAAGGTAAAAACACACGAGAATTCACAGCCGGTTATCTTTATTTCGAAAATTTGACAATAACTTGCAAATTCTGCAACGACATTTCTACCCTCTGACTCAACCCTGAGTTTCAAAATCTCATCTATAAATTACGTTCGGGCTGCCATAACGCTGGGTTTCTTCATTCCTTTCCATACAACAGCGCTTTTTCATTGTACACTTTTTCAGTTTTCGTTTAGCTTTCACCATTGATATTACAGATGAAGTCCTAATATCGATAATACAGAAAAAAATTACAACTTTCTTCAAAAACACTGGACGGAGTAGCCACGCAGGCCCAGTCTCTGCGTCAAAAAAACTAACATATGCGTAGAAGAGTAAGAAGAAAGGGTTAGATTGACAAGGCTTCTCAAAAACTTCATTGATTCTATTATGGTGCAACAAAAAAAGGCTCGAATCCAAAACTCCAAAATAGAAGGCTTACGAGGCTCTGATTGTTTCATTAATGAATTGCCGAATTTACACTTTTTAGAGTTCATATAATACCGAGTTAGACCGTCGACGATAACTCCGCCTTATGGTTTTCTAAATAGGTTATTGTTCCACATCGAGACAAAAGTGCATCGATGCAGACATCATCATAGTAGGCTCAAATAATTTAACTTGTGTACGATTTTAAGTCCCAAAATTTACCTGGGGATAATGACTACTCACAGAATTTCTCAGTGTTGATATCCAGGAAATTTCAAAATAAGAAAAATATGCATTTAATGTGGGATCACCTGGCCGTTACTTACGCACTGCCTTCTGTGCAAGTATTTTTCACAGGTTTCATTCTCTCCAAACTCCCCATCTGCAATTTTGCTTTACACTACAAGCTTTCGTGCATCGTTTTAAACAACTTGAAGCGGTCCCATTTTTGGCGCATGTTTTGTCACCGGGGGAAATGCGAGAACAGCATAAATTGATCTAAAACCGCCTCCATATAAACAGAAGAAGAAAAACTTTTACTTTAAAAGAATTCCATGATATTAATCTTTAAGCTCGTCCTATTCGTTTTTATGGCCACGATATGAATACGCTTTAGCAACACCCCAGGAAATGAAATGCTTAATGCAAATCCAACCTTTGAGGAAGATATTCAATAGATTTTAACGCCCTTGAGTGATCTCAGTTTCTGCTATATTAAGCATCTCGACAAGATATCCATGACTGCGAAGATCACTTTCATATTCAAGATATCCATGAATGGTACAACATTTTTTTCCACTAAGTTTGCTTCATCTTATCTTGTTCTTCTGTCTCTACGTAAAGTTCCCGTTTATGTAAAAAACGGGAAGTTTCGTCTTTATTCAACAAATTCAGGAGATATGCAGATTTCACGGTAAGATATCTCCCTTCATCACAACCTGATTTTATATTTTTAGATAACATTTTTAGAGCTAATTCGCAAAAATAGGCCACAAAACTTACGGCTTAGCACAATTCAGAATAATGTGTTTCGACTCAACACTGCCATTGATTTTCAAATTTATTGCACCAGACGCCAGTTGCTTTCAAAGGTAGACGTCAAATTTGTCCCGATCATTCACCACTTTTCAAAAAAATATGTCTCATGATCCTACCGATAACACATTTTTTGCCCTCTTGCATATTTTAACGAAATTAGGTTGAAAAATAAGATCAAATCACAAACTGTTAATGCTTATTTTGTAAATATTGATGAAACACCGGAATTTCGCCTGTTTCGAAAACAATGTATGGAGGTATAGAGAGAAAAACAATTTTTCGATGCGATCTCGTTTAAATTGAAACGTTTAAGTAACTTTCTACCGCCTCAGTTTACATGCGGGTGATTTCTGAATTCGTTCTTCCTCAAATGGGTTTCAAATTGTCTAACCTTAGTTTAGATATGTGCACAACAACACGAATATTTTAATCACACTTCTGTTGACAAATTCTTTTTCCTGGGGTCATGAAATTCATTTCAACGTTTGGGTTCTTTACATCCGTTATGACTACTCATATCTTGATTTTCTACCTCAGAAGAAAGGCTTTTTACTGTTAGTGGTCTTTTTCACCCTCATTTCAGCGTCTTGTCATCATTTGTTCTGCTGATTTTCGACCACCGGAGATCCTATTTGTTTACCAAATTAAGGGAATCAATCGAATGTTGTCCAAAACCCGTAATGCCTCAGTGTCCTCGCTAATCAAAACTTGTATATCATATCGCTCGATTGATTTGTCTTCTCTGTTCATTTGCCACAAAAGCAGAAAAAGTCTTTTAAAAAGTTGGTCATCATCTCCACTTGATGAGACCAAATGGCGCGGCATGGCGTGGTCAGAGATAAGGTATCAACGTGTACAGTTCTAAAGTAGTTACTGAAAATTTTCCACCAGCCATCAACACTCAAACAAATTTCAAATCAGGCAAGCGCACAGCACGATCGAGGTTGATTTGAAATTACGGGTAGAATATCGAATAAAATGTCTTATGTCATATTCTTCCAAGCCACCTTTTTAACTAATAAATTTTTTTCCAATGAAAACATTGATAATTAAGAAAAGTGTTAAAAACAGAAAATCTTAGCGAGATGAATATCCAATACTTTTACCGACGTGGTTTCGGTGTGTACAAGCTGCTTTGAAATAAATTAGCTTCATGTTTTTCTTCCCCAAGATTCGCTACTATCGAGATTACGAGATAATATGGTTTTGTAATTGTTGGGTTGTAACAGTTGAAACTGTCAAATCATGATCAAAATTGAGAACGGAAAAATCTTTGAACAAACAGAAAGAAAATTTGGAGATAAGCACATCTAGTGATATCAATATCTAAAAATAGAATTCATTACCTTGCCTTAAGAACTGATCAAGACCTTTCTGCTTGTGGGAAGTTTGTGTTACAGTCAGTTATTTTTCATAAAGTTTGAGTTGGAAATTCGACTTGAGGAGGCTCCATAGTGTTTTTTACCACGCGACATCTGGGTGCGAACATACCGCGAGCTTTACAAGTGTCAACATGTAATACAAACATGGCGGCTCCATACGATCGCATGATTGTTATCTGAAAAGCTGTGTTAAAGCAGTTTAGCACAACACAGTTTTAATGTCATGGAATCAAGGGTTTCCAGCAACTGCACCCGTAATATTCATAGGCCTTCTACGGTTGAAAAAGAGGTCAACCGAAACGAAAAAACTGTGGGAAAGATTGCCAAAAGGCGACAGCTTCGAAAGTTTACGCATGCTCAGATACAGATCTTAGCGAACTTCTATTCCATTATGTAATGTTTTTCGACAAAGAAAATAAGGATCTTTAGAGCAAGATTTATTGCGTTTCCTCTGGTGGAATATCTTAAGATTTGTTTGATTGTTGAACATATTTCTGTCCTTCCTTCTGCCTGTTTTCAAAAAATTCATAGGACCAAATTTGAGATAGAGGAGAAAACACAAAATTGTAAATAGCGAGGAAACTGCCTCTGCAACCCAATTTTTTTGGCTTTTAAATGATCGGCAGGACAAATTGCACAAATTGTGAACATTTTGAGAGATCTTACCCAAGCAAATTGAAGAAAATCAAAAGCAAAGCCAAATTGACACTAGCAAGCACGAAAATCATTTTGATAATATTTACTACAGCAAACGAAAGTTCGAACCCCGCTCATTGCCTTTTGATGGCTTTTAGTGACCTTGAAATGAAAAAAAAAACACCTAAAAAGCTACGAGAGAAACATTACGCTGATGCGCGCGTCAACATTGAGCAAAAACTCTCATCTTCATGAGATTTCATCGAACATTACGTGTACCAATTCCGTTGAATCGATTTTAGGTGCAGAACCATTTGGAGCAAGTT